CCAAATCTGCTTCCCTCAAATTCTCTGGTATTTCTTCCAAAAGAAGACATCAGCTTCTTAACGTCCAAAACAATATCAATTAAATGTTTGTAACATACGCAGCACCGGCTTTACCATTTGTGTGCCACCTGCATGTAACAGCTCATTATTGCGAACGAGGGTGCACCCGCGGGTACTATCGCAGTCATAGATTACCGTGCAGCTGATTGCGACGCGGAAACTTGACAAGGACTCCACGTTTCACAGATGAATGCATACCGCTTCGAAGGCGTCATTTCAGTAGACAGACTATTTATTAACGCCAGCAAAGATGCGGTCGAAATTGGGTAAAGACACTTACTGTGTTCGCGGTTCACAGCCCACTACACTTATAAAGAAGAGTTTGGTGACCGCTGCATTTTAACGTCGCTCCACGGAAACCACTGCGAAGAAAAGCCGAGGCCTTCACGATGTTGAGGCGCAACCTGAGGCAGAGAAGCAGACGGCGTTCGACGTATGTACGATGCTAGGCCTTACTCCCGCATCGAAATTTTCGATGGCAATGCTATCGCTGGATTCTCACGCTGTCGCGCAGAACCTTTTGCGAATAAAAGTGGACGCAGTTACGACTTAGCGACGTATGCTCGGGTAAGTGAAAAACCGCATTAAAAACTGAATAATTGCTGCAAGATACTCGAGTCGTAGAAAATCTGCCCGGCATCCATGTTGAAAATATTCATTTGCCGGAACAAGATTGGTTCGGGCAGGTCGTGACGTCACGAAAACAACGGGACGCGATTGGTGGCGGAGGAATACAAGATTCCCTTTGAAAGGCATTTGCCGCTACCTTCTTGACTTGTAACCGACTATAGCGCCAACCGAACCTCTACCTCGGGTGCCTCCGTGTTACTACAGGCCGATGGAAAAAGATCACGTGTTCATACATTGAGTGGCGTTCTGTTTCATAAAAAGAGCGCGCTCTGGGCTTTTCTAAAGTAACTGGATCCCGGGAAAAGAGTACAATGCTCCCCCGAATGGTCACCATTTCAGTTCATGGAATGAAACATTTCTCCTTGGACCTCTCCATTCTTGATGAGCCGTTCTAAACTCTTGAATACATGGTTTTTGCGCAAAAAAGACGAACACAAGAGAGAGAAACAAACACGTTCACCAACTCGCCCAACAACAAACTATATTACGTTCTAAACTCGCTGGGGACGGGTAGCATTATAGAGCCGTTTCTTGTATACCGAAATTTTGCTATCCACACACCTGCAAAACAAGCGTACATCCTTGTATAGCGCCATCACATGCGGCACGGTGCTTGGAGGCATTGCAAAATAGTTTTAATGCGAAAGCATTACCTGTTTCATGGAACGAAGCGGCGCTATCAGCTCTTAAAGCTTGCCAAACGGCACCTAAATTCCCCTGCGCCATGGAGCGAAGTTTGTAGCACGTATAGCAGCGAATTAATGAATAAACTCCCAGTGGCTGGCGCGTGGCATAGTTTTAAGGCACGCCGCCCCACAGAGAGCCCTTATCCATGGCGCAGCGGCCCGACCGCCGGTAACAGGGAGGGGGTGGCCGGACTCTGCAGAGCGTCCGTGGTGGCCGGCCGCAGTGCTCGGCCGGGCAGCCTACGCAGAGGTCGCTCGGCCGTGCTCAGCGAGTCGCGCAGCTTGTAAGAATACGCTACGTAAACGAATGCCTTCGCATTCCAACACGTTATACTTCGTCTCACCCTACGATGGACTAAAGGCAAAAGCTACGGGCCGTTAGATCCAATCACGAGCCACTTAGAAACTGTGCGGTATTTCGCTTCGATGCACGTATCGGTGCCCGCGTCCTGGATCACTGATGAGGGGACGGGTGGACAGTGGTTCGAATCGAAGAGCACTGAATGACTCAACAATTTTACATCGAAAAGAAAGCCACGACGTATAGGCTATTTGCAGCGTCGAAGCTATAGAAATGATGCGGCGCTTTTGGATTCGGAGCATTATTCGTCCACCCCTATTCAATGTTAAGCGTGCCATAGTATAGCGCGGAACGTAATTCGACCTGGCGGCCCGTGGCTTTGGCCTTTAGTCCATCGTAGGATAAGACAAAGTACAGCAGTCTTAGGTGTCTTTATTTTTTTTATTTCTTGAAATACGCATTAAGTACAATATATTGAAAGGGCTTTGGGGAAATAAGCATGATTGATAAGTTGATTGCATACACATGCAAAGACGAGGATCAGCCAGTCGCCTTGCGGTGTTTGGTCGTCTGTATGTTTCTATTTGTTTGTGTTCTAGTAGCAGGCAGGAATAGCAATGACACTACTTTCGCAGGATCCCGTGATTTTAGGTTTCCCTTGCAGAGAGAGAGAGAGCGCAAGAAAGAACCAGCGGAAACGAAGAGATAAGAAAGCGGAGCCTTTTTTGATGCTCTTTCGCTGCGATCTGGCAGCAGGGCTCTGTTCGGCGCTGCCACGTTCCACTTGTTCTATTTTCCGCACGCCCAGTCTACTGCGTCTCACACTCCAACAGGCTCTGAGAAAGTCTTATTTACACTGCAAGCACAGTAGATGGCACCCACATGCAAGACATTCGTGGATCTTTGTTACCACTGCCGTTTCAACGCTAGTACGGCAAAAGGGCGACTTTTTAATGCGATAGCAATATTAAGCTACTCATCACAGATTTTTGTCTATCTGGTATCCCAATGTCGCAGTAGGGCACAGTATACCATTTCCGCTCACTGTGACTGCACCCCATTGCGCCACGCGTATGCGGAGCAGGAGTACGCATTCCTTCATATTCGCACCCTTTTCGAAGCACCTGACGACCTTGACGTCGTCCTCGACGTCGTCCCAGAGGCTGTCTTTGAATCGTCTTCGACGTCGTGCCCTAGGACGTCGTCCTTAGGATGGTCTTAGAGGTCGTTTTTGAAATTACCTAGAGGTTTTCCTAGACATCGCCTTTGACGCCGTCCTCTTTAACGTCGTTTATTCATCCAGCAAAGTTTAGAGAAAAAATTGACGTCACAACCTATGCACCAATTCAGTTTCCGCTCTAAATCTGGTGGTGTGCAACGATAAATGCTATCGCATTCATAGATAATTACCCCTGTGGTTTCTACAAATTTTCTGCGGCCGTCAAATTTGCTGCCCCGTAATCTCAGCTTTACACTTTCGCTGCTGCGTGTCCGCACGCCACGTAGCAGCGAAAGTATGTGAGTAGCAGCACGTAGCAGTTTAGTATGTGAGTGGCTGGTTTTATGTGACCGTTCCTTCGTCTACGCTCGGACATATCATGAAGCGAAGTGTAACGAATCGTCGCATCACTTTCGAAGGAGGTCACTACTGTCAGTTTTTGTTTTATTTTATTTTTTCGACCCCGCAGATTTAACGGTCAGAACCAGGCGAGGTTCGCTTGCTGTCAGAAAAAAATCCAAATTTTAATGTAAAATAATAAAAAAAAAAAACTTGACAAGTTCTAGTTGTTGTTGGGAGAGCCTTGCACTTGTTTTGCGATGGAAGTTCGTTTAACCAGCACCACGCGACCTTGAGTTTCCCTGCTGTTTTCTCCGAAGTTTGCTATATATAAAAGCGCCCTGTGTAGAACGAAGGCGGTGCGAAATCACGTCGGTTATCAGTTGCCCAGCCGACTCAGTCCATCGCGAAACTTCGGTGCCTAAGACCGTGAAGGGGCATGATAGATACTTGGGGGATGTGAAAAAAACAAAACAAGAAACGTTGACGGGCCGGTAAGTCGACACTTCTTTTTACATCGTTATTTTCTTAGAAATTGGCGTAAAAGTTGTAGTTTGTAAAGCTACTGTATTTAGGTTGAAGAATTTTACAAACCATATTTTAACGCGAAAGATCGGACAGCATCCAGGGCTGTGGTGAAGAGTAGAAATATGCCCGGAATCACTTCAGGTCACGGCTTGTTTTCAACACGTTTCTTGTCTCGTGTATCCCTCTTCGGTCTTCTAGTCTTATTGTCCGATGCCGCAATTTCATCGAGTGAAGAGCGATAACAAGATGCTCAAGACTTGCCACGTCCGGCGTTTCTTAGAGCTTTAAGCCTAGAAAAGACGCAAGGCCGACGCGCTAATAATAATAATTGGGGTTGTTTGGATATTTATACAAGCGTGTAGTTGGTCAGCCATTTGAAAGTTGCGACGAGTCACTCGCTATAGGTGAGCTAGCGCCGGTGTGCATTGGCAGAATGAACGTGACACAACATCGTGCAGGTTTCGTTCCATGTCAGACCCTGAAATATGTCAGGTGACGCGCGTGCACGCTTGAGAATGAGGTGGAACGAGCATTGAATGCGGAAACTTGTAGACACCTTCGCTCAAAGGAAATCACTGTTTAGTTAGTCACTCGGTTATCGTCTACTCGAATTAATGAGAAAATCATGGCAGCGGTGGTAATTACTTTTAATGGTGTGTTTCAGGGCTCAAATCTGCCACGCTACAGATTCATACACATACTCTTCTTAGGAATGTTTGAAAACGTCCGATGCGTTCATTGTAGACCCGGTTCCTATTGTTCATAGAATGTAATACTGAGCGTTTCGCCGTCGGTACGTCTGGGGTCTGATCTAAAAAGTGGAAATCTCCAACAAACGTATCGGGTAAAGCAGTGTCATTTGTACAAGGCACAAAATCGTGATTTGGCCCTTCCGGAAAAAATCTTCACTCCGTGAATCTTACGTCGTTTCAATACAGTTACAATAAAATCGCAGCAAGTAATAACCCGTTGTAGTACACTGATGAGTGAATATTGTTTAATTGACTTCGCGTAAATATAGCGCCATGCAGCCGAATTGAGCCTAAAACGACGAGTAACAGATTTTTTTTTTCTTTGCTGGATGAGCCAAGTTTTGTGATCTTACAACCAAGCCTGTCCAGTAGAAACATGCTTTGTTTGTCTTCGTGTTTCAGCCCTACAGTTTGTTTTCTGTTAACTGGCGTCTTCTGATAAAGTACCATTCAACACGTGGCCGTCTCCATGGGAAGTCCGTATCTCATTTTGGTCGGTAACCGTAGCGCGCTATCTGCAAGTAGAAGTCTTCGATCTTTCTCAGCGATTTCTCGAGACTGTGGTAGTCGACCTTGCCCCGGGTGCCGTCGTATTCTTCGGGGAGCCGTTCGCGAGGGATCAGGGCGTGGAGCTTCTGGTAGTCGCGCCCGATAAAGTGAGTCTGCAAGCAAATAGAGAGCGATCGCCAGGTGTTAACCGGGCGTTACTTGGAGCGATTAATGACTTTTATTGAATGCCGATACTTTAATTCTGCTAATGCTTCGATTATAGTTGAGGTGATGAGTGGTCCTTGATATTGGCTACATTCAAATTTCGTTCAAGCTCCCCCTCCTCTTTTTCTCTCGCCTACAGTCACGTTTAAGTACACAGACTTCAAGCCTTTTGAATCTTAGATTAGTTACCCTACTCCAACCGAATAACAAAGAACTTGCTTTCATAACAGGGGTCTCGTTACTTCATTCGACCACCCTCCTAAAGCCGCTGTCAGAGTTTGCATACGTCAATTAAAGGACACGGTGTCTGCTACAGACATCATGACATTTGTATCTGCGCACCCGCCTCAACCATGTTCGAAACACGTTTTCTTTTTACGTATGTATGCTTCGAATATGTCTGCAAGAAAGTAACACGACTCGACAATGTCCGCGGACTGTCTTTTGTATAGAGCTTTTCGTTCACCCTCATCCCGAGCCACCTCGTAAACACATCCCGTATGGGCGTCAACAACAAGAACAACAAAAAGGAAAAAAATTAAACATTTTAAATTGCAAATTGTAAAATACAAATAGATGGGAGGCAAAGCGAGAATCGTTTACGGTTCCACTTATACTCTAAATGTATTTTATTGGCGTGGCGAGGGCAAAAACAACGTTGACGCCCATGCTGGAAGTGACAACATTCCAGGGGGCGGCGCCCTAGTGGAAAAAACCTATAATGTAAAGTAACCCCCTCCCAACCCCCCCCCCCCCCCCCCAAAAAAAAAAAAATAAAATGTAGAATAAATTACACAATTTTCGTTACGGCAAAAATAAACTACCCATCGTTCATTTTCCGCACAAATGTAGCTCTAGCGGTTCGAACCAGATGGAAAAGTTTCAGAACTATAACTGTTATCTCACTCAAAAGTTACAGGTAATTTTCGTAAACTTTCATTGAGAAAATGGGGCCCGTTTTCGCGCGTTTTCGGAAACTGACGCCATTCAGCTGCATATGTTATGACAGGTTCTCCATCGGCCGCCATTTTCCCATTGAAAATTTTCAAAAATCGGTCATAACGTTTTAGTAAGATAACGCTTAGTTCTGAAAATTTAGCATCTGGTTTGAACCGCTGGGGTTACATTTGGATGTAGAATGAACGTTCCGTAATGCGTAGTTCATTTTTGCGGAAAAAAAACGTAAATTTTTATGGGGGCGCGGTTACACTGCCACCCTGTCTTGGCAGTGCAACCGTGGCTTTAAAGGGACCATGAAATGACCTTTTTACTTTTTCCAGATAACTTTTACATTAAACCGTCAATGTTCACTGAAAGCCGAACAGGCATCCGTTTTCGTCTCGGTTTATTAACTTCTACACAAAAAATTAATGAAATATCGACTTTTTCTTTCTCTCCAACTGACCGCGAAACAAGCCGTGACGTACGCTGTTTCCGGAACCGGACGTTTTCTCGGCAGTAGGAGAATGGGAGCGTTAGCGGCGACGAGTTGGGGTGCGCCTGAAGTTTTTTTTGCTGCGCTGATGTCACCGACGTATTTTCTGAATAGGCGCCTCTCATCGCCGCATCGCAGCTGAGCGAAATTCAATGAGATATGTTGCGCTAGAGCGACAGCATGGGACTAGTCCCATACGCGGTATGCCTGTTGGGAAGTGAAGCGAGTCTTCCGGTGACGACTCCAGAAGTCACCCCAACTGTCATTGTTGGTAAAAGGCGGCCCGTGTCAGTCGTTTGCAAAGAGACGTAGATGGAAACAAATTTCTGCGGCGTTTTTCGCGGCCTCGGAGATGCAGGAGCGAGCCGACGTTAAAAAAGATACGTTTGAACTACGAGTGTCAGCAAGAGCCACGTAAATACCTGTTCACACTCGGAGCGGACGCGCGCGTTTGATGGAAGTGCTGTATTCGCGCTGTTGGTAAGCGCTTCGGGACCGATCTTTTACGATTGCAACTCGATACTGACGCGACACTCGGCAAAGAAAGGTTGGACCGGCATTGCACGTATATCTCCCACGAACACTTATAGCTCGGCAGTGACGTGCGGTCTGTCAGAATAAAAATGGCATACCAATAACAAAGTGTACATACCGTGTTACGAAGGTAATCCATACGGCGTTTATTTCAGCTCTATATCACACAAAACAAGATAGAATCGACGAGAGTCCCTTTTCGACGAGTGTTCGTCAACACTGCCTCGGAAAACAAGGGGAAGAGATTGGCCTCACCTCTTAATCTAAAATTGAGGTCAGCGATCAAACTATAACACGGGAAGGGTCCACAAGGGTAGCGCGGGCATATTCCATTCAGCACGCCAGCCGGTCGTAGGCAGACGGTCTTGCGACGAAGCAACGCTGCGCCGAGTCGGAGTGCCTGCTAGGCCTATATTCTGAGCAGCTCGCTTCGTCGGAGTCGGTGGATTTGTCGCCGTTGTCGCTTTTCTCGGGTGTTTGTGGATCCAGCGTTCTTGTTCGTCGTGGTCTGTTTTAAGTACTTTTTTTCTTGCTGCTTGAAGTCGGCACGCGCGAGAACACGTAGAAAAATAAACGTTCAGTCAGTCAGAGTTTTGAGAGGAAGGAAATCAAAGGAAATAACCGGTCGTCGGACGTCGCGACCCAAGTAAGTGAAGTCGGCCCTGCCCTACTGCGCACGCGCAGTAGTTGCTTCGTTTACCACACGATAGATGGCGCTTGGCTCTCAGCATTATCAAATTTGGCAATTTTCGCCACACATCTCTAATTATGCTCCAAAATGTGGATCTGAATATTATTTAACAAAACTTTTAGGAAACATTCGCCGGCTATTTATTGTTTACGATCGCGGTGCTGGTGGGGGAGGCTCTTACCCAATAGGCGACGTGGATTCGGCTGACGTGCTCCGTTTCCGCGGATGCATCGTAGTGAAAAGGCAGCGAGTTTCGAAGGAAAGAAGGCGCAAAAGAGTCCAGTTTTCTTTTAAAAGTTCTATAGCAAATAATTTTTTTTGGCTCCCTATTTTTGTGTTTTTGTGTTTCTTTTCACACGTTTTACGACGTGCGGTGGATGAAATTCGATTTTAAAATCATTTCATGGTCCCTTTAATCTCACGGGCGCACACTCGCGCTTCTCCTCTTACCCGGTCTACGAGCTTCGGTTTCAGGAACAACTTGGCAACAGAGTAGATGAGCTCGAATATGGGAGGGTTGTTGGTAATGTATACTCCCTTGATTCTTATAGGGTAGCACTCCTGGAAAGAAAAAAAAATCACAGCTCGAACAAAAGTTCTGCAGCTAAGGACACTTTCCTAAAGACAGGTTATTGGTTCTTGTTGGGTCACCTCCAGGGTGAGAACGTCACGGAGGAGTTTCGCTTGTCCCACCACCAGCCCCAGCATCCTGCCTTCGATAACGCTTCGAGTTTCGTGAGCGTCGAGCGTGCACGTGCAGCCAAAGCAAAACGGAAGGCAACGAGCGCGTGCTAGAAGTCGAGCGTTCGAAAGAGACGTCCTGACGTTCTCATTTTGTCTGTGACCATACGGGTAGAAACTGAGGGAGAGGAGGAGATAACAACGCGCGGGGATATCAGAACACCGAGCTCTGGTTGGAATGATTGGTGGGCATACAGAGACAAGGCCGCTAGGCTTTCCGTCTACCCACAAATTTAGCTGCCTTAGCCTCTATACTCACTGTTTCGAGCGCGTTCGAACGCCGAATGACAGCGGCATTTGGCCTAGTGAGTAGGAAGCTTTGCCTTTACCACTGATCTCTATGACAATTGCTAGATCGCGTTTGCCCGGTCCGCAAATGCGGCCACTGGCGGCCATATTTTTGGTAGAGTTATGTTACCTCTAGCCAATGTAAGTTGCTGCAGCCACTATCATTCATCCATGGCAGACAGCGTTGTGGTAGTTGTGGTGGCAGGCTGCCATCAAAATAACGTGGGTGATATTTCGTGATTGATTGAAATTGTTTGACGAAACATATGTTTGAAACCCGGCGTGTACGGTAGCCCGATTTTTGAGGACCAGGTGAAAGTTTCACTAAATCGCAGCAAAGCACGCATCGAAAGTCGCATCGAAAGAAGCATCGAAAGCAGACGCCGGTACGGAGTCTGCTTTCGATGCGAGCTGCGCTACTTTCCCTCGGTGCTGCGCTTTCGTAGAACTTTTGCCGTGTCCTCGAAGATGAGTCTACCGTTCACGCCGGGTTTCAAGAATCTGCTTCGTCGAACAACTTCAATGAAGCACGAAATCTCACCCACGGTACAGTGTACTAGATCTACGGCTATTTTATGGCAGTCTGCCCCCATAGCGCTGTCCGCCATGTTACCTATGATGGCTAGAGATAATATAACTCTACCAAAAAGATGGCCGACCGTGGCCGCATTCCCGTCCATAGGCGGAGCTGGTCAAACGCGATCCAGAAAATAGACATAGAGATCAGTGGCCCTTACCCACTAATAATTCCAACCAGAGTTAGGAGCACTGACGACCCCGCGAGACTCTCACTTCCTCCTCTACGGCAGTTTCTTACCCTAAAGGAATTTAAAGATTGTCTTCACTTTATTTTTATAAATTCAATATCGATGTAGCTACCTTCATACTCGATTCTCGTAGGCAGGAGGATTGTGATTAGAATTGTGAGATACCTGAGCGAGCTCAATGAGCTTCCTGACCACGGAGGGAGTGTAATGTCTGAAGAGCTCGAAGTTGAGACCTTCCAAGTCTACGACGGCTACGACGCCTGCGACCTGAGTAGTCTCGCTCAGCAGGATGTACTCGCCGACCAAGACGCCGGCCCTGAAGAGCTCGTCCAGGGGGCACATGTGGGGCTTCCAAGCGCCTGCAAGGCATAGGGCGATATCAATTTTCTTTACAAACAAACCTGTTTTTTCTAATGCTGGTTTACACATTTGCGACTTCTTACGACTGGAGGGGCTTAAAAGCAGGTTTTAAAAAGAGAAGTGGTCGGAAAAGAAATAAATTTTTTTCGAAAGTTGTGATTTATTTTGTGTGTGTGTGCTTCATTATCCACAAATCTTTATATTCCTATGTAAAAACAATAAAGAACCGGTTGTGATAACAAAATTTGTGGAATGCTCATTTAGAAACTCCCGGCAACCCGGAAAGGCATAAATTTGATCCATTTTTGTGTGCGCGATTCTGCCAATTGTGACTTCACTCGCCATCAGATTTATGTTCGAAAGCCATACCGTCCCCTCTCCATCGCAGTCACCTGCACGCGTTTATCTATTTATGTAATTTTGCGGCATTTTCACAGATTGTGTACAAGTATTTTTGTTCTTAATATTGTTCAATCACGACCAAATTTTACAAAGATATGACTCAGAATATTTCAAATGCAACTATGAAAGTTTCGATAGAATTTTTCTGTATTTATCATAAATTTAAGGGACTTTTGTTTTGTCCTTTTAAAATGGCTTTTTCGTGGTTTTCAGTTATTTAAAATATATCTATACCTCGTACCCAACATTTTTGTTGCTTGTTTGCACTCAGTGGTTTAAACAAAATCAACGAGTTCATTCAACTATATTCTTTTAAATGTGTTGCCATGCCCCACGTATGAACGCGAACGCGTTTCATTTTTTTCTGATTGGGCGTAAGATCCAGAACATAGAAAACAAGCTATGTCAAAACTAATACCATATTAAGAAATAATAAATAGATCAAGCACTATAAAACTGGGAAACTTTCATTCAGTTATCTTAAATAACAATAAAAAAAACGCTTTCTCCCAGCCCGCTTACCACCGGCTCCAGTACTAAACAGCCAGTCGGAAAGCAGTCACAAGAGGCTCAAAAACCGATCGTGTCTCAGTCGGTCGGAGTGAGACGCAATTGTGTGAACCAGCCTTATTAGGGTTGTGCAGAAGACAAGCGTATCTTAAGGGCATTGACGATTAGTATAGTATCACCTAGGAATTTCTCACCTTTCCACTCTTAGTTATTTCCACGAACCTCGTGTGCGATTTGATGGGCTTCCATCGATGACACTGCAGCCCACTACACACAACATGCCGAGACTTTAACTATTGTGTTTAGTAATCTAAAAATATCCTCTCGAGAAAAAGAACTGAAATAAAATTGGCCCGGCAAGAAGAAGAACTCTGATTTGAATTTTTGTAATCATATCCTTCTCTAAACCAGCCTACGTAATTCATGCTTTTCTTTTTTTTCCACGACACAAACGTTTTTTAGACATTAAGAATTCTGTAAATATGCAGTGATTTCCCACATATTCAATTACGCTTATGTGCATATGGGCACTGACAGTTTAAGAAGCGCTGGGTGTGGCTTATTGCGTTCACGCTATTTTTAATGCGAAAACATTAGCTGGTGCCATGAAGCTAATCCGGCGTTATCTGTAGCAGCGAGAAACGGCACCTAAATTCCCATTGGTTGAGCGAAACGGCACTTAAATTCCCATTGGCTGCAGCACGTTATGTGGCTCAATAGCAACGGCGTCATCGTTGCTAAAAAGCCAGCCGAACTGCTGGCGACGCAGCGGGAAAATGGGGGGGGGGGGGGGGGGGGGGGGGCGCAGGTATGCACTGGCCTGACGTCAGGCCTAACGTTTTTGCTTCATGATTTGTTCGTTTGCCTTGTTATCTTCTAATTCTACCATCTCGTCGAGTACGAGGCGATAAGATGAGCCCGACTCGCTAGCAAATACGTTTCTGAAGCTTTCGGTGGCTACGGTAACATTTCTAATCCTGGTGCTACATTAATGCTTGAGAGATTTGCCAGCTGAACGAAAAAAGAAATATAATCGTTCAACTGGCAAATCTCACAAGCATGAATAACCAACTAGCTCAGCTCCAGGCAATCGCTACCTTAATATTCGGCAATTTGTTGCTCGAGGTCCATTAAAACGCGTTTTGGGAGTTATATTGCGTACGGAGGTACTCACCCAGCTTGAGAATAGCTACTAGCCTTCCCAGGTGGTCCCTTTCGTCGAGTATCGTAACCAGCTTGTTCTGGTGAAACACCGCGTTGAACATGATCTGAGACGGCCGCAGATCGTCGAAGATGTTCCGGTGCACCTGTCTCACGCGGAAGTACTTCCGGATCGTGCAGAAGGCCTCCTCCACGCGGTACTTCCGGGCACGCAGAAACTTCACCAGGAAAGCATCATCGGATGGACACTTGAGGTCCGGCTCAGCTGACAGACAAAAAAAAAAAAATATATATATATATATTATACAAATCTGCGGCGTCTGTACTTCCCAGAACCAAGCAACAAAGATCCTTAGCGGTATTAGGATAGAACTCATCCTGCAAAGCTCTTTGGTAGCCATGATTGACGGTTTCCCTCTCGCCACTCGCCTAAAGTGGAAAGTGTATGCAGAGTGCAAGTTCGTCTGCGTCTTGCGCCCCCTGCGGAAAAAGCAGACGAACGTTGCGTTGACGTCAGAACGCCGACTTTTGTTTGGCTCCGACTGTATGCATAGTGGTAGACCTCGAGGCAGCTGTGCACCGATGTCTACCCGTTATCCTTCCAATCAGAGCCAATCGGACCTCGTCGTTCTGACGCCATTTTTTGTAACCCCTGCGCAAGAAGCGGACGATCTTGCGCTCCGTATAGTGCTTTGTGCGAAGAGCTTGTCTCGCTTTTAACCTGCAACAGTGTATAGTTGAAGTTAGTCTCCGACCGGTGTACTTAAGGCATTAGTTCATCTCTACGTCACCCCATAATGGTGGCAGCGCAGCAGCGGACAATATTAAAGCAGATACGCTATATCTGCTATACCTGACGTACCTCGCTCCGCAACCTCCTAGTGGGAGCCGGAAACACCTGCCGCTATGGGTAAGGAGCCCACGACTAGAGTGACGTATGCGTATACGTTCGTTGGCGCCGGCACTTTTACATTCAACGGCCAGGATCGCGGCCATACCTCCCATTCTGTATAGTATTCTGAGAAGGCTCCTTTGACGTATATTTTTTTCCCATTTCGGGTACGCGATGCGTGGGCGGTAAGAGCCAATTTGCACGCCAATTGAAAACGCGCGCCAAGGCACCGTACTTCTGTCGAAGTTTCACTAATTTTTAGCATGACTCCAGGAAAATTTTAGTTTTTCCCGCATCTGTGAAACATTTACGTCGCCAGCATGGCCGATGCACACGGTCTCACACAACGCTATTGTTACGGTGCGAACACTACATTGACATTGTACCTTTGGCTCGTAAATGTTCACGTCGGAACCGAAGTTTACGGTGCCTCAATGTTATCCAGTTCTCGCACGTGGAATATAAAGACGATTCACTTTACAGCGTTAAGTTCTGCCATTTTACCATTGATGAGCTTCCGCAACTCCATAACTGTGTCCCTCTTCAACTGTGGTGTTTCTCCAAGCTCTTCGTAAGCCACAGTTCGGAGGTCAAAAGGCGGGCTCTCGGCGCCTGTCGCCTCCGTCGACGCTGGCTCCTCTTCGGACATCACCACAGTTCCTGCTGTGTGAACGATAGATGCATACTTTATATCGAAACCATTTTTTTTAAACTGTGACACTCACAACCTCTCTGATATTGTTTGAGCAACGGCGGCGCGCTTGAACTTTCGGACACTCGGGATTTTTATGAGCCAGTAAAGTCTTCATCGCAGTGCTCACTTCTGCTCTATTTATACACCGTTTAGTATTCCGACGCAGCGGACACTACGAGTGATCCCCGCCAATTCAGCACTGCGGTCATGTCACGTGACTGCGAGCCTCTCAAGTGGCTGCTCCCATCCCGAAGGCCACGTGACACTCGCAGGGCACAAGGTTGGTTTTTTATGGTTTGTGTACGGTCTGCGGTCCGTCATATTGTGAAACACAACACAGAGGAACATTCGCATACGCATATTTCACGCATACTACACGATACTTAAAAATCTATATACTATTTCCTTACGCCTCCCATTTTATAAAAGCCTCCCGGTTTTATAAAAGCGGGAGGTTTTTATAAAAAAAAATACGCGATTAATGTTTCATTGGCGGGAGGTTTTTATAAAAAAAAAAAAAAACGTCATTAATGTTTCATTTTTTTTTTATTATTCTTCGCGCTAATAACAAAAATTTTTTTTTCAGAAATAAGGAGTATGACTACTCGGACAGTTATTTTGTCTTCTTTGTTTGTCTAAAAACTGCACGGTTGTGTAAGTCAAATCCCCTTACAAACGACTGTTTTCACAGAATAAGTTCATAAATAAGTCGCACCTTTGTACGAGACGCACTTATATATTTGTGCGCTCGGCGCGGTGAAACTGCATTCATTTGCCTGCATATGAGTTTTATAATCTCAATAGATTCACAAGCGAAAGAAAGATTTAATATTTTCCTCTACGAATTGAACGAGAAAAGTGACCCCCTCGGAAAATTTGCACAGTTAGGGTCCATGCTTTAAGAAAAAACGCATAAGTTCCACCATTTTCTAAAACGCACCAACAGAAATTTCGGGGGTGGGGACACGCGATTTTTACATTTAAAAGGACGGTGCATATAGTATCCGACAGCTCTATTTGTGCGCAAGAAAGAATGCACGCATGAGCTAATGAGGGAGCTGTCGTGCTGCATCCCGTTGCAGCCCCCTCCTCGAGTCAAATTTGGGGGTTTTACGTGCCAAACCAGCGACGGGCATCTGGCGTGCCCCAGCGGACGACTGAGGATTCATTTGAACCACCTGGGGGTCTTTTGACGTGCAACCGCAAGCTCGGTTACCACGGTGCCTTCTCCGCAATAAGCCTCCATCAGATTGCGGGCACCTCGGCCGGGATTCCAACCCGCCACATGGGGATCCGTAGGCCAGCGCTCTCGCCTCGGAGCCACCGAGGCGGCTTGCAGCCCCCTCCTCTACGCCGCGCATGCGTTCCCCCGGACACGCCCTGACCTCATCGTTGGTCTCCAGCGTTCTCGAGGGGGCGGAGAGGGGAACAATTTTTTCTACATTCTTTTACATATTACGCACGTCGAAATTTGTCCTCACCGCTAGAAGATCTGCCTCTGTAGGTGCGCCGTGTAATGCAGGTGAGCGGAATAAAATGTATCCTCTTCAGTAAAGTATTTAGCAATAAAAAAAATAAAAGAGCAGTGCATATATTTTATTAACTTTAGTCAGTGAACGGGTCAAGAACGAAGTGGAAGCCCCTCCCGCCTCTTTCTACTTCAATAGTGCGAACGCTGGAGAGGAGGCGACCTCCTCTCCACGGTTCGCTCCGCTGAAGTGGAAAGGGAAGGGAGGAGCCTCCATTTCGTTCTTGACCTGTCACCGACTATAAGTCCCTGATTCTCCAACACAAATAGTAGTTTAAATCAAATAACGCGACGTCATGAATTAAAGTTGGGCATGATGTTGCGCTATTGAAATCGAATCGGTATTAGCGTAACTATAGTATATGCATGCCTTGCGCCTACGTCAGATGATGGCGACGAACACCGGTAATCGCCATGCTGGTGGTTGAGCCGACGGCCATTCGCAGCGAGAGCCATAAAGCGTCGGGCTCGGCCGTAATACTTGCTACGTATCCCGACGATCGTTTTGTCGGTGTGGCACGCGACAGAGTAAGCCGTCAAGTTAGACAAAGTACGAGTGGCAGGGAAGGGATGCGGCCGCGCATTACTGAAGCTAGACGCATTCCATTGCGGCGAGAGACGGCACTTTGCAGCCGTTGTTTACATTCGTGATGTTCATCGGTCGGCGCCGGCCCCCGTGTCTACGCTAGTCGAGACGCCGCTGCCGACCAGGGCATCGGCTTGTGCCGTCCGCGACACGGTAACCTCTGCGAGGAGCGAAGCTATGCAGGCGAGCTGGTTAGGAAACATCATAATTTAAGCCCTTCGCGTCTCGGCGTTTAAATATTGGTGGTAAAATTGCGTTGTTTAACAATATTTCACAAAAACGCAACAATTTTACTATAAATGGCTCCTAGAGCCTCTCGTGAAACATTGGTACACTCAATGAAGCTTTTTTCGCCGACACGACCGTCCTTCGCGTCAAAACTTCCTGGACAACATGTCGAAACTTTTCGCCCGTAGCGCGATCGCACCAACGCCGAAAACTTCCGCACGTACTGGCTGAACGTCATCATCGTAAGCTCTGCATGTTCTTCCAAGTTCGTATGTAAAAAGCTAGGTACCTTTTTGAAAATATGATGCATGTCAGGGCATGTCCGGACAGTTGGCGGAATCCTACGCCTTGGTAAGTGCTTCCGCGCGCTGTGCAGTAGTCACGTCACTTGCAAGACACGCATACAAAACGTCGCGAAGAATTCAACTAATTATTTTAATTTTGATATTCAATGACCACCGATATTGACATTGTTTTGGAGTAATTCGAAGACTCCTGTTCAGGTTACATATAAGATTCAAAAGTATCGATCTTTCTTTTCGGTTATTGGACGCTCATTAAGCTAAACTATCTGGTCCGTAACACCAACGGCTTAGCACACATACATGCTACGTTCAAGCGAATAGCTGAAAACATCTCACCTGTAGGGCAGGTAACACGCTGCTTGTTTCGAGAATCCGAGTGCCACGGCTCGCTTAGCAGCGAACAGCACCCGCGACTTTCTTCAACTCCGTTCACCGATAGGGTGGTGGAACCTACAAGCTCGTTAGGCCAGTCACACGTCTGTCTTTGTCCACGTGATCACGTTTCCGGCCATAGAGAGCAGGGTCAGGTAATGAAAGAGTTGATTTATCCGTCGAGCGCGTAACACTAACCGCCTTGTCAGCTTAGGGATGGCAGGGGTACATTCAAGGACGGACATGCTAGCATTGTGGTCATCGTCGTCAGCTAGCCCTTGGGTTGCTGGGCCCTGAAGCACTGTTGACGCTTCGGATTAGTCACCCCTAGTGTTCGGCCTTGACTTCTTCGCTCCCGGCAACTCTTACCTTAGGGATCAGACATGCTGAGGACGGGACACAGCTGTTCTTAGAAGCGGGCGGTTTAGGAGCGGCGCGGAGAATACCTTTGGGCGTTCTGAAAGGGCTCACTTTAGGGATCATCCCGTTTGGCAAAAGATAATTGGATAGGAGTTTCCGAGGAAAGTTTATCCTCGTTGGCGCGTGCGATTTTCGTGCCAGTGAACGAAGGACAAGAGCGTCCAGCTGGCTTCACCGCCTTCTTTGAAAGAGAAGGACGTAAACATACCCTTTTTTTCTTCTTTTTTTTTAAGTCATCGAGTTTTAAACCTTCCGGTGCGAAGTAGGAAATAGCCGTGCATTATATTAAAAGACCGCTTCTCGCTTTATAAAATCTATACACTAACGTACAGGACATTTTCTCTTAATTAAAACAAAACTTTAGAAAATTACATCTATAGAATTAGACATTATCTAGACGAGAAAGTATAGGGGCCGTGCTTCGCTTGACAGTTCCGGAACAGTTGAAAATTCGAGACATCCCTCAATCGGTCGCGTTCGGTTTACGCAGTAAAGTAATCACATGGCACACGTGTACGGGATAGACGAAAATGAGGTGTGAGACACTTTACAGTGCTTCTAATACTATTCTTAGTGGTAGTTATTAGTTGTGATCACTTATACGCTGTTTCAATATAATCACAGAAGCGGAAAACTCTTTGTACCCAGGAAGCCAACTATAGCGCAGGATCGAGGCGCGTGGAAACACAGTCTGGGTCAGGGTGTAAGATAGACAGGTGGGGAAACGGCCCATAGAAGCCTACCTCAGCGCCGTGACCGGATTGTGTACTCGTCTGCTTGCGGGTACCCCCGACTTGCGACAGATGGCGCTGCGGCGAGAGGAAAAAAATTGGAATCGGATTTGCGTGGAACTTTATGGGAGACTGCGCAAAATAAACCGAGAGCACGACAGTCTTTCATTAAAAATTCACAAAAAACAATATCCATCAGTTTAGCCGGTCGCCATCGGTCGCCCACCCGGAGTGAGAGTTCGCGGTGCTCCACATAGATGGCGCCACAGAAAAAGAGAAAACCGAGGGGGACACAATGCGGTCACTCATTTGGCTCTCGTTTCTCCACCTGTCTATCTTACACCCTGGTCTGGGTGCATTCCTGCCGTAGAAAGGTGTCCTGTACCTCGCTCCGTCGCTCCGATTGGCCCACCTAGCGTTATCCGTTGACCAAGTTATGCTGAAGCGAAGTATACGACGTAACCTATGAATTCCAATGAGCGGAACCCTAAAAAGTGAAAGTAGTTGGGGCTACTGTGTCCAAACTTTCAAGGCCACGGAACAAAGAAATAAAACATACTTTAAAATGACGACATTAAAAAACAGGAAACATTTTAGGTCTACACCGAAGGGTTGACTAATAAACATATGCTGCTATAATATACAATCACCTTTTGCCTAGAAAAAAGGCAAATGACTCACGGAAAGATCGACAGTCTTTAATTAAAAGGGTCTTTTTGAAGAATCGGAATTTATTCGCCACTCTCTCAAGAGTTTTAAAACAAATGCCTTTAGAAATTCATGCCCGCAAAACATACATAAAACTCTGGCTGCGCCTCGGTACTACCGATGTCCAAATTCACCGTCGTTTTGGAATATCGTGGTCTTTTCTTATACTGACTCGTGGTTACTCCACTCGTAGCAAGCGTTGCCGAGGTCTTCTGTGTGGTGACGGTCTTGTCACGAACGCTTGCTCTGGAACTCTCATCGTCGTCAATTTGATTTTTTTTTTTTATTATCCGTAAAACATGGGAAAGGTAAAGTAACTGGTATATAAGTTCCTTAATAAAAGCTCAGCTACAATTAAGACATTTCAGCTCTTGATGCAAACTAAGCATAAAAATGGCATCATAGACCTCGTATATTTGAAATCAACCCGAAGCCATTGTTTTCCCCATAAAATATAAAGAGACGCGAGGACAACGCTTATTAATTTGACATAACCTATCACAAACAATTCAAACCTTTTCTCGCACTATCTAGGCAAGCGGTTGTAACACAGAATGTATTGTATGTTGATTCAAAATGATCTTGCGCAGATATGAGCTTAGTGCACATTTTGTGCCTCGGCTGCGCGAACATTGTCGTGCATAACGTCTCTGAAAGAAAGCCCCTGCCAAAACGAGCGCTCCAGCGGGAGCGGAACGCAAAATTTGTCCCTCTGGCTGTCGCACGCCCCAGCTTTCACCCCCTGGTGTTTCGCGTCTCCCTGTTTCTTCAGAGGCACGTGCTTGTTCCCTTTCGCCTCACACATCCTCACAGTCTCACAAGATATACGAGCGCGCTCGCACAACATTTTCTAGACGGCAAGCCTGCAATGATATATTTTCTACATCACCAATCGGGGGCCAGCGAATGATACAGGTTAGACACGAGTGTTTCGTCAGCGTTCTGCTAGAACTAAATCAGTGACGACATGAGTTCCAAAGAAGCACTGACGCAGCACTTTTGTCCAATGAATTCTCGCGTAACGCTCTTCTATTACGGGAAGTGCGTGGCGAGATATTGCTGTAAACCGAAAACATATAACACAATCAATGTTAAAAATAAACATTCGCGCCACATCCTCTTAGCTTTTCCGTGAGTTTATTGTCTGGTGGAATCATTCCGTTTGCATTAAATAAACCCTAAGCAACACGCAGAATAACTACCGACAACGTATGTTCGGTACATGACGATTAACTCGAAGTGAAAGACACCTGTTAGTATATTTATTCCGACGGGGGACATCCACGTGACCCGTAAGTACTTCCTTTTCTAATCGATCTCCAATTTCCTGAAGCGTCCCTGTTCAAAATTAATCTCGTCGGCTTCGGGCATCTTCGAAGAGTAACTGAATGCGGAAGATAAGCTGGTGATCTTTTGCCAAAGAGCGCACATGTAGTCCAAGGTGGCGTCGCCGCAGCCGTCTTTTCTGCGCACGTATTCGTCGGGAGTATCGGGCCGGTAGCCGAACGTGTTGTGTTCCTTGAAGAGTGCGTCGGCTCGATAGAGTTGGGCACAAAATGCGGCGTTGTCGAAGGGTCCCCGGAGCCCACCGAACTCTTCGGGAAGGATATCCGGAGGCAGGAACTGGTGAAGCGAGTCCAGGTCCTTCCCGTGCACGCGCATCTGTGTATACAAGGTGGGGTCTCGTAACACCAGCTTCAAATTCAAACGATTTGAAATGTATACATTTGCGACGTGGTACCGCGCGCGGGGTTTTGCTATAGTATTCCCAACTTTGAGCGGGACATTATTTCGCAATATGGGTGCCTGCTTTCGCTTCAGTCAAAACAAAAGAGCACTAATCTAAACACTGCATCCGCTGGCATGTTGATAAATTTATACATCACAAAGCTAGACAGATATGCTACTTAAACTTGGCTCGCTGCTAAGCTGATAGCTCGCGGTGTAAGCCACATGCTCATCGGACAAGTCAATCGCTTGTTCCGCTAACTTCTTGTCATATCAGCGCTGCGCCGCATGTGTCAACCAGACTTCACACTCGCCTAATACGCGTTTTTTTTAATGTCTTTATAAAAATTAAACGGATTCCTCTAAGGCGTTAATCGAATAAAAAAAAAGTGAATCTGTTGGTACTCACTCTGCGGACGAGTTTCTCTTTCAGGAATGGTTTGACCAGTGCAAACACCGACGTGAAGAACATCGGCTGGTTTACCACGTGGGCTGACTTCAAACGTAGTGGGCAGCACTCCTGCGATACGGCGGAGAAATGGGTCCTTGCACAACTCGTTCCTCAATAACGTGGGCCGGAGCGGACGCCACGCTCCATCCCACTGCTGGGCGTGTGTTGTGCGTGAGCTTCCGGTTGGGCACAGCGACACAAAAAGCGTAAAGTCACGTAGCACGTGCGGCACTCTGGGTTAGCTGGGATTACCTATGGCATTCGCTGCGATCACATACATCTGGTGCGTACGCAGCCGTGTGGTGTGCACTGCGCAGTGCGCTAAGGATACCCTACACCATTCCCGCTGCCAGGCAGAAATGATGCTGATTTGAAACTTTTCCGCTCTTTTCAACTATATGTTTCTGACTCCATGGCAAGATATGGTGGCACCGGCGCTCGAGCCGAATTTGCGCAGGTGCTTCGTTTCCCTATAAGGGGGTTTCTGCGCATTCCAGTGCCTGTGAGGACAAACGCGGACAAACAAGAATATGTAAACAGACAGGACCGCGTACCTGGAGGTTGTAGACAAACATGGAGAATTGAGTCGGCGACGCCGCCCTCAGGTGACTGAAAGATCCTCCGCCCAGGTCAATAAGCATAACGATTCCTTTCACTTGCGTCCTGGGGTCCTCGAGAAGGTGTTCCCACGCCAGGATGCTGAGCCCAGCCAGCTTGTCCAGGCTGCAGACGTTTGGATGCCAATCGCCTGCAAAAGACAGACAAAGAGCCGTCTTTATTTATTTTTATTTTAACATACTGACAGCTGTGAGGTGCAAGCACGTTGGTAGGTATTTTAGAAGTACAAACACGCTTGATTATTAGAAAGGTGTTCAATAAAACCCCGGACATTTTCACTATTTACAGAATTTGTTGTTGGGCAGTGCGATTCATCGATACATTCAAGAACAACAACAACAACAAAAGTTCCTGAAAGACTACGTGTTAAAACGGTGAGGCACAATATATTCGTTATGTTTTGTTCTGTGCTATCTAAGTGCGCATATGTAACATATTTCTAAATATTACTAAAGTTATAAACATCTAGCAATCTAAATAAATAATTTCCTTCGAGTTAACATCCTCCTCGTTCGTACGCGTGGCCAGAAGGTTCGTATAGGACTTCAGTAGGGTGACACGTCTGTGGAAAGATAGCGATTGAAAATAGATAGGACAGCTTTACTTTGTATATGCGTTCTATTTCGTGAAAGATTTGTTGCCCGAATTTCCTCCTGATGTCCAACATCGCATCATACTCGAAGTTCCGCGACATCCCCTGTCTTCGAGGAAATCGAGGAAGGAAAAAGGGGTGTAACTATAGCCACTAACTAAATGATGCTTCGGTGTTTATGTGGCGTGGCTGTACTGACGTCACGCCAGCGGCCATTATAATGGCCTTGGTGCTGAGCACATTCCTTCTGCAATATGAATTTCGCACTAATACATCTTTTCCTCTGGAAGAAATGACCACCAGCATTATGCAAACACGTCGCGTGCAATCCATGTACAACGCCACATCAGCCGTATTGTTATCAAAATTGTCACCCACCCTCGTTAACACGCATACCGGAAAACGCAGCCAGGGCTTTGGGGTCATAACCTACTTGCTGAAACACTCCGGAACCGAGTCAAACAATATCGCGCTAGGGCTACCTTTTTATCGCCGCATCTAAGATACGAAATGTTTAATTTTTGATCCGTAAATCTCGCCAGCGTTCAGCGGTAGACAACACAATGCCACATTCCTCGAGTCTCTTGCTCAAGGAAACACCACGTGACGCGAAAAGACGAATGATCTTCGTGATATCGTCAAATAAAGAGGGGGAGGGGGGAGAGGGGAGAGTGGAGAGTGAGAGAGAGAGAGTGAGTGAGAGTAACTCTCGAGGGTCTCTCTACCGTGCGAATGAGCGCTTTCTGCGCGCTGCCAGCTAAGACAGGGCCCGGGAGAATAAAAATCAAGATCATTGAAATTGTGCGTAGAATCAGGATTAAAGTCGTGACTTAAATCAGACCAATTTTACTACGATGGTTTCAAGCAGGGGTCTCCCAGCGTTTTGGCAAAAGGCCCGTTCACACACTTGCGTTTGTCTACGCCAGGCTGAGACAAGACCGGTTTTTATGCAGGAATGCAGCCGGTCGTAAACCGTTACAAGAGGTTTAAAAACCGGTCGTGTCTAAGCCGGTCATAGTGAAACGCAAGTGCGTGAACGCGGCTTCAAGGGCCCATGAAACAAATTTCGGGCTTGGATAAATGAATTTAGATTGGGATTTTACTAATATCATATCGGCTTAGTGAGCAAGAAGAAAGAAGCTAGAAAGTAAAATCCTGACTTTCAGTACCGAAATTTGAAAACACAGCGGTACCCAAAGCGCGTCACCCGTCCCAAACGCACGTCACACGACACCGGACCGCACTTATTCCCTTCACCCCTAAGCTGACAATGCGGTTGGCGAGAAGGCGTGATCACGTGGCACAAGTGTGGCTGGCCCAACGAGCACGTAGCTACCACAGCACTGTCAGCTTCGGGGTGTACGAAGTGCGGAAAGCAACTTTTGTCCGACGTTTGAGCGACGGGCTAATCTGCTAGGGAGAGTGGCGGTCTCCGGGTACACGAACGAGGGTCCGAGCAAGGGGGACTCCCTCCTTTCCGTCTTCTTCAACTGTGTGAGAAAAAAAAACTAAACAGGAAAAAGTTTGAAAAATAAATTTGGCTTGCTCTGTATGTTTACACCACGCCTCAACAGGTAATCGGACTCTTAGCTGTAGATGAGAAATTTAGCCAGTGCAGTACAACCGCTAACCTGGGGTTTTTCACGTGCATCACGCAGTAGTGATTACACAAACGCGTGCCGGTACGAAACCCATCCAGATCGAAACGGGCGGGGTGGCGGGGATTGAACCCAGCGCAAGCTTTCGCTCCACGCTCCGAGCTGAGACGCGTTAGCCCACTCCGCCACGCCGAAAACTCAAGGTACAGAATCGCAATGGAACATTATTCAAAACATCAGTGATGTCGGTTTTAAAATCAGCAGCGTCAGTAAGTGAGACTATGGATGCGGGAAGGCGATTCCAGTCGACGGAGGTCAGGGGTAGGAAAGAGGCATAAAAGGTGGAGGTGATGCAGTAGGGATACCTGTTTTCAGTGGATGATCGGTGCGCGGCGATATATATGATGGTTTTGAAAATTTTGAGGTCCAAAGTGCTGAGTTGGAGTGATAAATATTGTGAAATGAGCAAAGACGAGCTTTTTTTTTTCTTCTTTGAAAGGAGAGGTTAAGTAATGGTGGAGTAATGTTAAGCTCCATATTCCAAAGCTCACACCAGTGGTAAACAGCGTTGATATCTGTCTGGAGATTTAAAACATAATCTGGAGTCGTTAGTAGATTTAGTGTATATTGCACAGCCGTCACCGAAAAGATTAATTAATGATGAGACGCACTTAGATAGGTCATTGATGTAAATGAGAAACAGTAGAGGGCCTACTACGGATCCTTGAGGAACACTGGATGTGACGGAAGGGAAGGGAGACTTGTTCTGATTAGCAGTAACAAACTGATATCGGTTAGTTAGAAAACGGGCCGGGCGCGCAGCCAGGATTTTGTTTCGGAGGGGGGGGGGGGGGGGGCGGCGGCGGCGCCCATGACAAAATGCGGTATGGGGGGGAGGGGGAGAGGAGGTCCCAGCAAAATGGAAGATTTCGGGGGGGGGGGGGGGGGGAGCCTTATGCTTACCCCCCCCCCCCCCCCCCCTTCGCTACGTGCCTGAAACGGGCTATCCAGGCAACTACGTTAGGATCAATACATAATTTGTTAAGTTTTAATAGCCTAACTTAAAGCCTTGCTAAAATCTAGAAAAACACAGTCAACTTGGGTCCACAATTAAGGACAGAATGAAGATCGTTAGCAGACAAAAGCTGTGTCTCAGGAGCGAAATTTTCGGAAACCATGTTGACCCTTTGTTAAAAAAAAAAAGAATTTGATTCCGGGAAATTAACCAGTTCGGAGTATATTATATGCTCTAGTAATTTACATGGTAAACTGGTAGGCGAGATTGGACGATAGTTAAGGGGGGAATGCTTATCACCTCTTTGTGCAATGGAATCACCCTGGCTACCTTCCCGTCGTCAGGTAAACTGACAAGTTCAAGCGACTGAGAAAATAGTTTAGAAAATAAAATAGATGAATACATAATTAAGTTTTTCAAGATCTTAGAGTTAATATTGTCAGGACCAGCCGGAAGAAGACAGTCTTCGATTTTCTTTTAGTTTAACAATACCAGTGGGGTCAATTACAGTGGGGTTCATAGGTGGTATAAGCTGGGGAATCTCTACACAATGGCAAACTAACACCGCAACATCATGGCACGCTTTATGAGTTTCTTTTTTTTTTTTTTTGATTAGACATAAAAAAAAAAAACACTAAAATGGTGATGAGCGCCATAAAGTTGCACTTTCGACGCTGTTTGATTGACTCGTCGGCTTCTACGCTCTAAGAAACGCCTGAGCGTCTACTTACCCGCAAAACACTCAAAGAGCCAATCTCTGCGATCTACGAAATCAGCTCAGCGAATGATGAGGCGGAACATCCGTTTAGACCTAAAATGAAGTCTGCGGTGTGGCATTACGCAATGCAAAGCGACATGCATGCGTTGCGTAAGGCCACAGCGTAGACTCAATTTTGATATCTAAACAGATGTTCCGCCTCATCATTCGCTGAGCTGATTTCGTAGATCGCAGAGATTGGCTCTTTGAGTGTTTTGCGGGTAAGTAGACGCCCTGGCATTTCTTAGAGTGTGTAGCGCTGGCTGTGCTCCGACGTTAGCTATCTGATGGAATGACAACTGACATGTCCCACGATGTCAGTTGTTCCGCCATTATGCAGTGGTTCCGACCTTCTAACAATCGGCACGTGACTTTCTAAAGGGGTCTATAGAAAAAAGGCCGAGGGTCATTGCACTCTTAATAAAAGCAAGATATATGTCTAAAACAAAAACATTAAATGGTTCGCTCCAAGTGAGTCCTAGGTTCGGAGGCTGTCGGGTTGCCTTACCCATTCGTAGCAGGCATACTCTGGATCCCTCGGCGTCAGTTTCGGGGAGCACGTCGTGAGTCTGAAGGTCGAACAGGTTCTTCCGAGCCAGCGGATGCAGGCCTTCGTAGAGCTCCGGGTTCAGGAAGCGAGCCCGGTAGTAGTTTTGGATCATCTGGAACGCTTTTGGCGCGTCGAACTTGCGGACTCGGAGGAAACGCAGAAGAAACAGTGTGTCCGTTCTGGATCTGAGATAGTCTGAGTGACCTGGGAACCAAAAAGGTTTGCACTGTGAGGTCCCGATCGGAAACACCATCAGTAATTCTTGATAGTTCATCGACATTTTCGATTGCCCATTAGACTTTCCGATAGCCCATTATCTCGAACACAGAAATTAATATAATTGGAGATATACTCGACTTTATATGTTGCCCGATCGAAATTCGTGGGGCACTATATTTCAAGCACGGCGTGGGGTGATCAATAAGTTTTGCCTCCTAGGCTGTAACTTTTCTATTATGCGATGGAATTAAAAGAAGCTACATTCAAATGAAAGTTTGGAATCTCCTCTTTCCCAGGAGCGCATAACTTTTCAATATAGTCCACACCGGTGGCGATTAACTTCAGCTACCTTTGTACTACTCTCAGCATTACGTCATATAGACGATTAGGGGCAGCTCTTGACGACACCAACAGCTCACTGCATCGGTAACCTCGTCATCGGACGCAAACCGTTTACCCTTCAGATATTCCGTTATCATAAAACAAAACAGCTAAACATCTGAAGGTGCGATGTCCGGGCTTTTATGTTAATGAGGCAAAACGTTTTGTAACTGCAGCTCCCAGCTCGGCGTTGGTCTCGTCAACAGCCGCCCTCACTCATTTACGACGGCCGATGCGGAAAGTAGCGCACCGGCAACGGAAGTGGACTACCGCCGGTGGGGACTATATTGAAAAGTTATGTGCTCCTGGAAAAGAGGAGATTCCTAACTTTGATTTGAGTGCAACATCTTTCAATTCCATAACTGAATAAAAAAGTTAAGTATAGGAGGCAAAACTTATCAATCACCCCTCGTATCTTAGGAATATATTTTAAGCTTATATTGAAACATTTAACACAAATTATAACTGAATTTGTAATATAGCGCACATTTTGGCTGTGTGATATTTATTTTATATGAAATACACAATTTATATATATATAACACAAATAACTGAACCTAGACAAAACATTTTTTTTAATATTTTCAGGTTTATTTAGCTTCCAATATTTGTTTGACTTTTATTGACTGAGCATTTTCTCCAATAAGACTTCGTTTTAACGAATGGCGAACTTTCTTTACCACGGGTGGGCAAGAACTTTAATAAAACCTCATTGCTCTTGAAATAATTTACTGAATGGGTATGTAATGCAGCATAGAACAAGAATGTATTGAAAACAGTATTGCATTCTAAACCTGTTAGAACTAAGTCTCTAACCATGAAGAACGTAATCACTGCATTAAAAACAAATATATAATATAGTCGGTTATATCGCAATACCTGAGTTTTGGTAAACCTAAAAAGTTCAAAACGCTGACCAACAAAAACACCCAAAGTGAACACATAAAAACATAACTCAAACGTAACAAAATACATGTATAGGCTGCCATATATTCTAAAATATCTTGCAAGAGATCAAGGATCGCGACGAGAAGACGACGACGACGGTGTAAAAGAAGAGAGCTAGAAGAAGTAAGAGATACCGGATCGACGTTTTCTTTTTTTTTTCTCTTGATCTCTTTTACGATCGCCCGGCCGAAATTAAAAACAGTCTCAATCAATGTCATGTCGCGTGACGTCATGACATCACGTGACTCGCGGTGTCACCTGACGTCGCTAAGTCGCGAGGTGTTACTGTGCAATGCGCCTTGACATGACAATGTCATGTCGTGGTGTCAACTGACTCCAGGTAGCAAGTTACGTGATGCGCGGCCTGGCGTCAAGAGTCATGCCGAGCGGTTTTGACGTCAGGGGCGTGACGTGAATGTGGAATCTTTTGGCGGAGTGCCGAAAATGGTCCTCGCCGATTTGGAGAGCGGTCGACGGCGTAAAACTCGCGAATTGTCCCACCAACTGATATCGCATTAAAAGGTACATGGATTTCTTCAGATTTCGCTCTTTCCTACGTAATGAATGCCCACTGAGTTTTGCAGAGCGCTGGAGAAATAGATTGCGAAATTATCCCATACGTTCTGGCTAAAGCAGCGAAAGAGGCTGTAATCCAATAGGAGGTTAAAAAAGAAAATAATATTTCCCACCTATTTGGCGATGTAAACATCCGCAATATTCGAAAATGCGAGGTAGATATAAATTGGTCAATTTATTGAATTTGCCAATGCGGTAAATAAATATACAACAAGGCAGCCCGCCGAATACGTGGACCAATGTATTTAATTTGGAACAATTAACGGATGAGAACTGTACACTATACACGCTTTCGCTTTTGGCGCATTGAGCTTTTACTTACCTGCGAGCAGCTCTCTGAGCTCGTTGAGCGCCTGTGTTCGCCGTTCAGGTGTTTCACTGAGATACTGCTCAGCATATTCTCGAAGATCTGCTGGAAGAATATCCTCTTCGGATAATTCCTTCGTTGTCGAGTTCAGTTGTGATTCTTGCGACATTTTGTCGGCTTCAACTGCCCCTGAAGTAAAACAATTAAAATAATTTTGATTCCGTATAAGCGGAGATAACACAGCTGCCTGTGGATACCATTTAATTATGCAAAATTTTAATTGTCCTGCGAAAGACAAACTTTGTAAGCTCCACGCAAACATGATCGAGATGTTTTACCCAACCTTCGTTGTTGCCATTCCAACTTCGCTCCCACTGGAGTGTGCAAAAGAAGGACGGCGGCAAAACTCTGTCATGCTGGTGCATGCATGCCGCACACGCATATGGCAGGGCACACCGGGAAATGTATTATTGCTCCGTGCATAGGAGTCACCAGGCGTCTCAACGCCGACACCGCGATTCAGAGGCAAGGTCACCTGTCAGCTGTATCCCACTCTAAGCGGGAACATGCAAAGTCGAGGGCTTCCTGAAGAGTCGTCAAAGTCAACGCCGTCGGCTCAGATGGACACAGACAAGCACGAATTTGACATCCCTCAAGGCCAACATCAGTTTGCCAAAACAAGCGCATACGACGTGTGGCCCCCGAATGCAATAGTACCGCCTTTCCTGTTCGCTGTTGAAGTTTTTGTCAAAACAATTTTCATGGAGCTAGACGTCGAAGCTAGTGTTCCGGTAATTCCGGTAGAGATGTTTCAAGGGGCTGTTCTCTATGTGAATCTGGAACCTTTGAGCGTCTTTTTGAAAGGGTGTTCTATGGACCTTGAGCAAGTCAAAGGCAAGGCGAATCTAAAAGTCGAGTGCAGTTGTGGTGAGGAGTTTCCTCCTCTCTTCATGCCTTCTGAAACTAGTTTCATGCACGTGGGTCTGAACCTCGGAGCTTCAGCGAACAAGCTTACTGATATTAGGAACCTAATATGTTAGTTTTGAGTTTTTGAAGGATTTGGGATATTCAAAGAATTTCTGCAAAAATGCTTGTGCCCCGGATGAATCGATAAAATCAAGCCACGTCAAATTCCATCTGCATCGTGCGATGGAGTCAACCAGGTTCTTCTGAAATTGTAACGCGAATATGTGATTCCCGCTTCCAAGGCGAAACGTTGGACAGCTCCTATCGCTCCTGTTCAGAAGCAAGATGATCGAGTGCGGTTCTTGAAAAATTTCAAGAAACTAATGCTGCGCCTTTTTTTTTTTTTTTAAACTTATCAACTTTTACTTGTCCATAGGCTGTGAGCTTTTCTATTAGAAGGAGTCAAGTTCGCGAAGTTAGAGTTACGGGGGACCAGGGACAACTCTTTCTGAATGAAGAGTGCCGGAAATTAGGAGGCAGTCAACACCCACATGGGTATTTTCCGGTATCCAAGACCTTCATTCGGAATTCCCTTTGTTTGAGTAAAAACTGAGTGAAATTGGGAATCTTTTCCGTGGTCTGTCATGCCTAGCTGTGTACTTTGATGGCATTGTTGTCGCACATATGTTCACGATGAGGAAACCTGGAAGTACCTCAAGACTATCGTTCAGACATAGAAATGTCCACTCTTAGGCGACGTTGGGGAAATATGAGTTCCTTGCATTCGATACAAAGTATAGGCCACGTCTTTGACAAAGACAACTCCTTTTAAGCCAGAAAAAAATGGATGTCATTGCTGATGTTTATGCTCCTTGTAGTACCAAACAGCTTCGTATTTTCCTTACCGTGCTCAAGTTTTTTTATGCTCGTTTATTGGAAATCATTCCAACGAAGCCGCGACCCATGTCTCTGTCCATGGAAGGCAACAAGCGGACGTGGGGAAAGGGTCAAATATTACACTTTGTTAATAGTGAGAAACTGCTTAAAGAGCACGCTTGGTACAAATAACAACGTTCTTTACTGGGCTGACTGGCCCGAGAGTGCGGTATTTAGAAAGACCATGCCAGGCGGCGTAGTCTCCTCCCAAGGTGCCTCCGGTCATAGAATACCTAGCATCGCCGCATAACCTGCCTCGGCGAACGGGTCTTTATTTTGCGGGAAACTATACAACAGGAGAATCAACTGGAGCGCTACAATTTCTGCCAACAAACTTTGCTTCGTTAACACGTAACCCCTCTGCCAGTCACGGGCGGATTCAGTGTCGTTCCCAGAGAGGTTCACTCCAGCTTATCGAATGTTAACCTCAAAGCCGTGATTCCATACATTTCAAACGAAGTGTTCTAAAACAAAAATTGTGGCAATGATTATCAGTAAAGCAATAGTTGCGCAAGATATTTGTAAGTGGGTGAATTTTATATTTGTCTTGCATAATAAACAGGAATTTACGCAATAATGCTTTTTTGCTTAACGATCTTTACGACAATTTAACAACAATGATCAAGCACCACGAGCATAGACAAATCAAAAGCACTTCTGAATCCCAATCCCTGAGAAAGAGTTGCAGCTTTTTAAATATCTGTAATATTCTTGTTACCCTAACATATCTACACTGCGCGACTCTGTTGGCCCCAACACTAAATTGGGGCTTTCTCGCACTTTACGTTTAAAGAATATTAGCAGACACCACAGTTTTCCTCTTAGGTAAGTGAAACAAATGAGCACAATTTGTAACACTACTAGATTAAATGACAACCTAAAAATTCAAAAAAAAAATCACAAAAAAAATACGATCGCTTGTTTTCGTTAATTTTGTAGCACTATATACATATATACTGGTATAAAGGTAACACGGATTTTATACAGCTTTCTGATGAGTGTATAGAAAAGCAGCCATATAAAAACTCTTTCAATAAATGAATCAGACAAATAATCATTCTTGAAGCAATTTTTTTTAAAACATTTAGTCTGTCGGATCGAATTAAAAAAATTCAATCTAAAAGCGGGTTTCATTGACAGTTATCGTATGACTCTGGACAATTGACATTAAGGGCGAATGTCAGCCATAGGAATACGCGAAACTAAATGTGCCCTTGTGACAAGGGTATTATTACAAGTCGTTATACTTCTAAAGGCCATAACACGTTACTAGTAGATTTTGTTTGAGCATGGTGTGTTCAGAACAAGTATGAGTACCTTTTGCAGACAGGGGAATCCAAACAGCCGGAGTCTCGCAGCTGCCAGGCTCTGCTGACTCCTCCGCGACGCTCGTCAGAAATACGCCCCGATGCTCCTTTTGCTGAGCCTATACCCAGAGAGTTCGCACGTCAACGTGACAATAAAACAAATACAAAAAAATGGAAGTGCGTAACATGGTGCTGCGATTAGGAGGGTTCAAGACGAAGAAAGCCTGACGGATCTTTTTCCCTTCCGAATGTTTCTCACGGTACCTCTGACAAGCAATGTTTTCCTTGTATATGCACGTGTGCGCCTCTGCGTGTAGAAACTATCTGGGCTGGCGCGTATCGCCTGAGAAAATCGATAAAAAAAGAAAATCGCCGATTTGGAAATTTATATTTGCATTTTTCTTTTGTTTCGAGTTTGAGTTTCTTTTTTTATTATTTTAGCCTCATGAAAATTCAGAGGTTCAAGGAAATCTTACGGGCGGATAAAGGAAGTGCTTTGTTTTCATCGAAGACGACAGAGAAAAAAAAAAGTTGGCAAGCCGCCACCACGTTATGCTCAGCCTTACCGTAGACGAATATGACCTAGTGAAATGCTGTAATAGGTGAGAGACCGTGCGTCAACATTAGGTCAAAAATCTGACCGATTGGTTGAAGTTTTGTGACCAATCGTACTCCTACCTTCACGTTCTCCTCTCTCGAACATACGAAGATTGGGAAAGAAGGTTCCAGTCCTTCTTTACAAAGACACAAAAGAAATGTTTAACGATCAAAATGGCACTCACGTATCTTAGTTTCCCACGAGAAGACAGCAAACTTGTTTCTTTTTTTTTTTTTTTTTGTTCCGTGGATTACAATTGAAAGGTCAGGGAAGCATCGCGTGGCTAATGCCCAAGTAACATCGCCGGGAAACCCGACGCAAGTCCGAGAGGGAAACTATGCGTGCATTGGATGTGACGTAGTTGTTTGGATGTCTTTAAATATGCACGAGTTGTGACGTACCTAGGCTACTAAACGAGGCATCTCTACATCTAGAGACTATGGAGAGAAAAACATACGGGGATAGAGACAGGCACAACTGTTTATTTAAGAGAACCACATGTAGGCCCCGAGGGAAGTGTACCGTTTTTTCGGTTGAAAGTTTTTGTTTTACCACAGAATATTTATGAGCTGGATTTCATGCAAAAAGTGTAAAACTTGAGTGTGGCGAAAAAACGTTACACGAGTGCTAAGTCCACAGCAGGCAGTACATAAGGATTCGAAACCGATGCAGAATAAATTTATGTGTAATACTTTATGCATAAATGTAATTAAGCACTGTCAATCGCAACCAACGAGATTCACGAAGGAACTCAGGGGGAATTGAATTGCGGGCCATGCGATCCGCATGCCGACGGCCTTGTTCGGCACTACATTTGAGGTAAGAGCGAAAGCAGCTGGAATAAATCAGTGTTGCCAGATGGTCCCACCAGAAACCGCCAAACGGTTGCAAGGTATAGCCTAAATATAGCCAAACTCGTAAAAAATGTATAGTCAAAATAGCCAAGACTAGAAACAAAAATCTCTAAGCTTTTTATTGAAAATACTTCGCACACATGCAATAGACGTCAAATTCTCTATTTCAACCCTCAGATGCGCCACATTTTGTGTACATTATGTCACTTGTGAATTTTTTTCGAAAAAGGCGAAGAATCATTATCCGTACAACATTGAATCTTTGTAGGTTTTCAAAAGTAAGTGCGAAACACACAAAGAGCTTTATTATGAAGCCCGGGAGATGTCATCATAGAATAATAGAACAGAATATAGAAACAAAACACACAGAACACTGGGCGTTTCAAACCAGAACCCCCAATATCTAAGGTCCTTACCAATACCTCATCCGCCTCTTTTTGCTTCTGTAGAATATGAGTCTCTCCCATTCCGGTTCACGCTACTTCTGATTGTGTTGTCCTTTCATGGGGTGGGCGACGACAGGAAGGTAGTCATTTGTTTAGCTGTGAAGCGGCGGACTCCTTATTTT